GCAATGTTATATTAGCTTCAGGTGTATTTTCTTTTTTGTTTGTTTGTTTGAATGTAAGCATCTGTAGCTGTAAATCTCCCCCTTAGCACTGCTCTCACAATATAAGTTTAGTATGTTGTGTTTCATTCATCTTTAAGTGTTTTCTAATTTCCTTTATGATTTCTTCTTTGATCCATTCGTTGTTTAAAAGTGTGTTGTTTAATTTTCATAATTTTGTGAATTTTCTAGTTTTCCTTGTTATTGGTTTCTAACTTCATCTCATTGTGGTCAAAGAAGATACTTTGAATGATATCTATGTTTTAAAGTTGGAGACTTACATATGATCTATCCTGGAAAATGTTCCATCTGCACTTGAGAAGAATGTGTATGCTATTGTTGGTTAGAGTGTTCTGTTCATGTCTGTTAGACCTAACTAGTTTATTGTGTTGTTTGTATCCTCTGTTTCCTTATCTTCTATTTGTTTTATCCATATTGTAAGTGGGGTATTGATTTCTCCAACTATTATGTGGAACTGTCTACATCTCCCTTCAATTCTATTAGTTTTTGCTTCATATATTTTGATTTGTCATCGGATGTATCACTGTTATAATCATCGTATCTTTGAACCTTTTATCAATATATAATGTTCTTATTTATCTCTTAAAAACTTTTTTTGATTTAAAGTTTATTTTGTCTGATATTAGAGCCACCTCTGTTCTCTTTTGGTTACTATTTGCATGGAATATCTTTTTCCATCATTTCACTCTCAATCTGTCCAGGTTTTCTGGATCTTAGTTGAGTCTCTTAAAGTTGGGTCTTGTGTTTTTATCCATTCTGCCAGTCTCTGTCTTTTGATTGGAGAGTTTAATCCATTTACATTTAAAGTACTTACTGATAAGGAGGGACTTATTTCTGTCATTGTGCTATTTACTTTCTATATGCTTTACAACTTTTTTGTCTCTTGTTTCCTGCATTACTTTTTTTTTGTTTAGTTGATTTTTTTTGGTAGAGAAATTTTAAATTCCTTTCTCATGTCCTTTTATGTATAATTTACAGCTGTTTTCTTTATGGCTACCATGGGGATTACGTTTAACATCCTAAAGTTATAATAATATTCTAACATGAATTTACACCAGCTTAGCTCAATAGCTTTTTGAATCTGATTTTGTTTGTCCATACGTACTGGCAGTAGGAAGTTTTCATGTTTCAATTAACCAGGTTGACAGCTGAGGGATTTCATGTTCTGAAAATCTGCTACCTGGAAAGCAAGTGTACCCCAGAACTGCCCAGGGACCAATTTTATAAGAAATAGAGAAACAGTTGATGCTTGTGTCAGTGAGGAGAGAAAAGGAAAGAGGAAATTAATGAATAATAAAGAAGAAGCTGATGTTAAAAATAGGGAAAGTTATGTTGAATCAGGGAATGATTCTCATACAGATTTGTCAGAATTTGATAGGGTTTTAGGTAATATTTTCATAACAGAATAACATCCTTGATTGGGCATACATTTAATTATATTAGTTGAGGAGAACATCTTTGGAATGTTCATTATTATTACATTTCAAATAGGCCTGAAACTTTCAACTGTGAATGAATACTGTGAATAATGAATCTTCAGTGGCTGTATGAAAAAAAATCCATCTAGTGTAAAATGTAATTCAGGTTATTTCTGCAATATGGCTATGTTTCATGGAGGTAGATGCAGTACTCGTATCTATTACAAGCAATGTAGTATTGTGTGTAAGGACTCAGACTGGCATTTCACTGCCTGGCATTCAGCCCCAATTCTGCCATGTACTGTGTAACTTTGGATAAGTTGCTTAAACTCTTTTGCCTTAGAGTCTTTGTCTGTCACATGGTGATATTAATCATGGTGTGTGCCTTATGTAGTTTTGTGAAGATCAAATGAGTTGATATACACAGAGTGCTTAGAACACTGTTATTAAACACATAGTAAGCACTTATAAATAATAGCTACTATTTTTATTGCTAAAGAGAGGTAAGTACTGACAAATTTTTTGCTTTCGTATTCAGATAGAGTCTGAAATCTCAGTGGCCCCAGCCTGCAAGCCTCACCAATTTTCTTCATCAGTCCATTCTCCTCCATGATTTCACCACCTTATCTCTTGACCCTACAAGGGAAATTATTACCTCTAGAAGACTTTAGGCAGGCCCTTATGGATGTTGTGAACTAAAGGTTCACACCTTCCCTATGAATCAGGAACCCTGCAAACTGCAGCCTGTAGGGCACATCTGGCCTATCGCTGTTTTTGTATGTGTTCCTGAGCTAGGAATTGGTTTTCAATGGCTGAAAAAAAATCAGAAGAAGAGGAATATTTTGTGAAATTGTGAAAATTATATGAAATTCAAATTTCAGTGTCCGTAAGTACAATTTTATTGGAACATAACCATGCCAATTAATTTCTGTTTTGCCTGTAACCACTTTCATGTCACAGGGGCAGAATCGAATAGCTTGCAACTGAGACCTAATGGCTTACAAATCCTAAAATAATCACTATCAAGCCTTTTCCAGAAAAAGTTTGCCCACCCCTACAGTAAATACTACCATTCAATGCTTTACATTTTCCTGTATTTTTTTTTTAAGATTTTATTTGTTTATTTGACAGAGAGAGAGAGATAGTGAGAGCAGGAACACAAGCAGGGGGAGTGGGAGAGGGAGAAGCAGACCTCCCGCCGAGCAGGGAGCCCGATGCGGGGCTCGATCCCAGGGCCCTGGGATCATGACCTGAGCCGAAGGCAGACGCTTAACAACTGAGCCACCCAGGCGCCCCATACATTTTCCTGTATTTTTTGATAGAAAATTCTAGGCCATAACTTGTCATTCAGTTTTTACTCTCCCAGTTTTTCTTTGCAGAATGATAGTTTCTCTTCTTAAACTTATCCTGTCTAATGATGCGAATCATTAATTTAGAGCTTTCTTGGGCACTCCTATCTTAATTATGAAGAATAGCTTTAAGATATCGGAATACTTTTACTTGTAATTGTATCGTATGCCATGTGTACCGTTACTGGAAGAGAATGGTTTTTCCTTTCATAGAATCTTAGAGTTGGAAGGGACTTCAAGGTCATCTAGTTGTGTTCAATGACATTATAGATGAAGAAATGGGAGACCCAAGAAGTGACATAAGTGACCCTCTGTCACAGGGCCAGGTCAACAAAGAATCAGGACCAGTGTGCATTTCTTGGTCTGATTCTCCCTCTGTTTATGTCTTACCAAACCCATATCCCCTAAACCAATTGTCAAAGTCAGCTTTTGCATTGACACTGAAGGCCTTGCAGACACAGGCCCACCCTAACGGTTTGTGTCAGCAGAATACTCATCCTTAGGGTTTGCTTGTCTTTGCCTTTTCTCTGGAGAAGTCTTTGAGAGGCTTTGGTAAAGAAGTATAAAATAAAAGGATGAGAATATTATCACTATTGGACTCATTTCATCACTTCTTTGAACTCTGGCACAATACCTTGTTGGGCTCAGAGCAGTGTCCACAGGCAAAAGAAATAGAAAACAGAAAAAAAAATGACATTCAGGTACTTATTAATAATTGGCCCAAACGTTTCACTCTCTTGATTCTTCAGTTATTTTTACCTTCATCCTGGGTCACCTGTTAACTTCCAGGTGTCAGATATAATGAGGTCCTACCTGAACTCTATAAGGAGAAATTGAATTAGAAAGAACTGGGCTGGTTATTTTCAAATATTATAAAGGGAACAAAATGTGAAACGAGGTATTTACAGTATGAAAATGACCTCTATATATATTTAGAAGAAATAAGACTTTCTGGTTGTTTTTTACTTCTTGAGGTAGAGTCTCCTACAACCATAACTTGAATCACATAAGAAATGTCAATATTCTGTGTTACCACTGGGAGGACTGTTAATATTTTGGCTTTGAAGATCAGTTTGATGTCATCTGCTTGATAAGCAAATATTACCCATTTCCCCCTTTCTCTCACCTTACTCCCATTCTCCCATTTGTTGGTTTTAAACCTATACCTTTCCCTTACTTTGATTTTCTCATTTCTTTCCACCACTCGTTTCTTTATTCTTCATTCCCCTTCAAATTTTGAAGCTCAATTTGGTTTTCTAAATATACACACGATTCCTGCCTTCTGTAATTTACCCCCAACAACTATGAATCATCCATTTTTTTAAAATATCAGTTCATCCACTGGTTACCATTTATTCTGCTTCCTTACTATGTACAACAACCCAAGAGCCATTCCCCCTGAGGGTTTTTTAAAACCTCAATTCACCTGATGTAAATCTTTTGTATCTAAACTCAGCTTCATACCCTCAGTCACCTAATATCATACTGGCATTTTGAGGGTAACCTCTAGCATATCAGGCTTGCCCTGGAGTTAGAAGTTTGACACTATTAGGCAAGAACCTTCAAAACTAGTAATAGGAAGACGAACATAGTCTACAGATAGGCCTTCTGCACAGAAAATAAGAGTACTAGACCAGGTTGCCAAAAACCTGGATCTCTTACTAATTTATCCTTAATGAATTCTCTCTTCTCCTCTAGCTTTATATCCTCATCTGAACAATGAGGAGATTGAACTAGACAGTCTGAGTTTCTAAATGTAGGAGGGGGCCAAGAAAAGGGAACTGAAGACATTGTCTAGTGGGGGGGTGTTGTGAAGGTAAAAATATACTAAATGGAAGGTCGTAGAGGAAGAAGGTAAGGCCTAAATTTGGTATATTTGGGGTTTCATCAGCTCATATTCCTTAACGGATTGGATAAGAATATGTGAGGTAAAGCAGCTCTCAAGAGGACATGGTTTGACTCTCCTTTTAAAGTGAAGGGAATCAGATACAAGTGCCCATTCTCCTGTTGCTTGTGGTAACTCTTGGCGGCTCACTCGCCTGTGGATCGCAGGCAGGGCCTCCTCAAAAGACTTTCTTCTCAAGTTCCGTGTTTATGATAAATGTCCTTGTGAGTATTCTGTGAGAGAGCAGTTTTTATTTTGATGAAAAAAGTATTTTTCTTGACCTTTCTTCATGTGGGTGAAGCAGACGTTTGAGGAAGCTGATAAGAATGGTGACGGCTTACTGAATATTGAAGAGATACATCAACTGATGCACAAACTAAATGTCAATCTTCCCCGAAGAAAAGTCAGACAAATGTTTCAGGTATGTTTTCACAGTTGGGTTGGCCTTGTGTAAAATACGCGTTGGAAGTTACTGTTGTACTTGGATATTTCAAAGGCTGTTTTGTTTTGTTGAAAGTTGATATTACCTTCTCCGTATTGTTGCATTTTTCTTTGATGAAAAGAGAGGTGTTTTGTTTTGGGAAGGAAAAAAACAAATCTTCCTAAACTTAACAATTTCACTTCCTAGGATGCTTTTTTTATTGTTGCTGTTTTCAGAGAGTAATTATAAGCGCTTTACCTGGCACTTAGATAATGGAGTAAACCTGATCAAGGCCCTTTGAGGGAGTGATAACATCTCATGGGCCTACCTCACGGAGCTCTTGTGAGGATCAGAATCAAGACTAGATAGCATGAGAAAACAGCACTTATTGAAGTCCTCGAGAGGCTCTGTTTCATTTCATAGGAGTTTAAGATTTAGAATCCATGATGCTTAGAAGTGCTGCATCACTCCTACTGTTTAGGGAACTCTCCAGAATTCCATTCAACTGTCTGTTGGTATTAAATGAGATGCTCTTTCCCTGTTGGTCAGTCCTTGAGGAAAATCCTTGGGCCAAAACTTACTCTGTGGCCCCCAGCTGGGACTGTACCTAGTCCTCCATCGAAGGTGCAGAAGTGAGCTCTGTTGAGTGAGTGCAAAGACAATGTTAGATTATTAATAATTGCTAATATCCTAATTTAGGAAGTGCTGGAGAGAAGAATTTGGAGAGAAGTCATATGCACGATCCATGTTTTGCAATAATTTTCTAAGTGATTAGGTGATATTTTGTGCATGCAAAAATAAGCAGAGGGTGTGATATTTTCTGATGGTTAATGTTTTGTGCTGCTTTTGTTTTCTAACCATTTGTTCTTAGAGGCAGTAAGGGCAGAAATAATGTGAGGGATGAGTTGCAATGATGAATGGAAGGTGGAGGCTGGTTCCATTCTGTGACCTCTTACCGTGGTCCTGTCCTTGGGAAGCTCTTGGCTGGACATGGTTTGCAGTGAGGGGGACTTGGTCACATTGCACTGGAGAGCAACAGAAGAGAAAGGAAAGAAGAGGAAGGCCTATGCTGTAGAAAGAACCCCAGAGATGGAAGAGGGGCTTTGGAGGGGAAATGTATTGTCACAAATAGAGTGAACTGTCTTTCAACTATATGGAAGGGTTTGCCACATTCCTGGCACTCCCTGTGATATCTCCCTTTTGTCCTGTTGTGAGCCCCACACTCCCAGCTGGTCCTTTCCACAGAAAATGCTCATGGTACTGAAGAGGTAGCTTCTGATCAAATTAGAGGGGCCAGGGCGCCTGGGTGGCTCAGATGGTTAAGCGTCTGCCTTCGGCTCAGGTCATGATCCCAGGGTCCTGGGATCGAGTCCCGCATCGGGCTCCCTGCTCCTTGGGAGCCTGCTTCTCCCTCTGCCTCTCTCTCTCTCTCTCTCTCTCTCCCCCCCTCTCTCTCTCCCTCTGTCTCTCATGAATAAAAATAAAATTAAATTAAATTAAAAAAAAATTAGAGGGGCCAAGCTTAAAGAGGAAAGGCAAAGTCTATACCTACAAAAATAATGGTGTGGGGTACTTTTTGGAAGCTAAATAAGGGAGTAACATAAGATATTGATCTATTTTTATTTATGCATTTTTCTCCTTCAGACACCTTTTATTTCTCATGCACTAAGCATTTTGCAGGGCAAACCAGGAAATGTTTATGTCAAATGTCTTATGCGTTCAAAGTGAATCCTTTAGATAAATTTTAAGAAAATATTAGGGGTCTCTTTTTGTGACCTTAGGTTTAAAGACTTATCAAACCAGAAGTAGGATAAGCAGTAGGACCTGCTGGAGAACATTTCCACTGCAGGCCTTGTACCTAGCAGGATTGTGGAAATGCTCTTTGTGGGAGTAACAGGACCAAAGGTCTTGGTATTATTTCAGGAACATTCTTCTTCTGGCTAATCGCTGGTGCAGACATTGAAGCCTTCCTAGAATTTTCTTTGCTTTTTTGTTGCAGAGCAAGATTCAAGTAAAATTTTTTTCAAAATAATCTTTTACGTTATGGATAGCTACTTTTTTTTTTTTTTTTAAAGATGTTATTTTTTTTTTTGAGAGAGAGAGAGAGAATGAGAGATAGAAAGCACGAGAGGGAAGAGGGTCAGAGGGAGAAGCAGACTCCCCGCTGAGCAGGAAGCCCGATGTGGGACTCGATCCCGGGACTCCAGGATCATGACCCGAGCTGAAGGCAGTCGCCCAACCAACTGAGCCACCCAGGCGCCCCTGGATAGCTACTTTTTAAGTCTCTAGATGCTATTGTTTACATGTCAGATTTATGTTCTTAATTGTTTAGGCATTTATAAGGAAGTCTTGAAAAAGTTACTTCTCTGTATCTAGGGTTAGATACTTTGAAACAAAGTTATGGCAGAAATTTGAATATTAGACCCAGTTTCTTAAAACGCAGTGACTCTACAAACAAGCATCTTGCACACCAAAAATGTGGATATTTTATAGACCATTCTCCTTCTACCTTTAAAAGGACAGAAGGCAATCAGCTCCATAATGAAACTGTGTGTTATTTAAATATTGGTTAAAGCGTGTGCTCATAATTATCCCAAGGTTAGCAAAATTTTTAAAAGTATATTTTTCATGAGCACATTGACTTTCAAAGCTATGTTTAAAACCCTGTAGCAGCTGAATATATACATCCCAAAACCTGTGCAGTTCAAGATGCCATTCATTCCCTGTCAGTTTGGGTTCAGTTATAACTGTGTTCACGTAAAATGAAGATCATGTAAATGGATTGGCTGCTCATTACATATTCCCAACAATTTTAGGGTTTTCTGACAAAGTCAGCCAATCAGAAGGAAGATACATGTTGAAAGATTCTTGCTCAATATTACTAGAAACAAATAATTTCAACTAGAAATCAGTCCAGGTGGATTTTTCAGACTTCTGTGGAGGGAAAACAAGCAAGTACCAATGATCCTGATGGCTGTAAGAGCAATAAGCTACCTATGCCGAATTAAGAGAGATTCTGTTATATTTAAAAATTATATTAGAATTACATACAGTTCAGAACCTGGTTAGAGACTAGTATTTTCATAATGTGTTAAATATTTTTTCTCTTTTGCTCATGATTTGTCTCGTCCAACATTTCTTTTTCTTTTTTCCTTTTTTTTTTAAAGATTTTATTTATTTATTTGAGAGAGAGAGAATGAGCATGAGAGGGGGGAGGGTCAGAGGGAGAAGAAGACTCTCTGCTGAGCAGGGAGCCTGATGTGGGGCTCGATCCCAGGACCCTGGGATCATGACCTGAGCCCAAGGCAGACGCTTAACGACTGAGCCACCCAGGAGCCCTTTCTCTAGCTTTTTGAGTTGAATTATTATCTTATCTGTTTTCAGTCTACCTTGCTTTCTAATAAATTGAAAACTTCATTTCCTTCTAATTACTGCTTTAACTCATCATACCAATTTTAATATGTAGTGCAAGTGTTCATTTCTATGTCTCATTTCCTATTTAGAAGTGTATTATGTTGTCTTCAGAATTTTTTTTAAGCTTTTCTTGTTGGTTTATAAATTTACTGTGATCAGAAAAATTGGTTTTTATAAGATTGATTCTTTATAACATGAAATGTTTTTTGTGGCCTAATAAATAGTTAAATTGACCCATGTATGCTTGAAAAGAATGTGTTTACCATTTGTGAAATGTGTTCTAGCCTTTTTATAGAAAATATTATTTCCCAGTACTGAATTTCCTATTTCAAACTCTCACACTGCCTTGGCTTTTCTCTGACTTTCAGGAAGCTGATACAGATGAAAATCAGGGAACTCTGACATTTGAAGAATTCTGTGTTTTTTACAAAATGATGTCACTGAGACGGGACCTTTATTTGTTGCTCTTGAGCTACAGTGACAAGAAAGATCACCTAACTGTGGAAGAACTGGCTCAATTTTTGAAGGTGGAGCAAAAGGTATCATTGGACTATTGGATTGAATGTTTGCTTAAAAATACCTAAGAATATACAGGTTTCTTCTGGTGTTGGATATAGGTACACTTTATTTTTAGGATAGAGGGGTATATATCACAATTCCACAAAAAGTCTTATGAGTTATTTATAACACGTTTCTAGCAGCTTTTATAAGGGAGTGATAAATTGAACACTCACATAATTTTTTAACTTAAATACGTTGACTATAGATAAGCACATTTTTCCACAAAGTAATGGATGTTAACTCATGTGTTTCATTTTAAATATAATGGTTATGTTTTCTTTATACTAATAATATAGGTAGATATTTGTTAACTATGATGTAATTCTTAACTAGCAATATAGTAATTCATTGATAATTCTGGTAGGAAATTGACATTGGATCATATCAGAAGACTAAGTAAATTAAGTCCTGATTAGCAAAGAGAACCCCTAAATGTATTTCAAATAAGAACTTTTTAAAAAAGATTTTATTTATTTATTTGAGAGAGAGAATGAGAGAGAGAGAGAGAGAACATGAGAGGGGGGAGGGCCAGAGGGCGAAGCAGACTACCCCCTGAGTGTGGAGCCCGATGCGGGACTCGATCCTGGGACTCCAGGATCATGACCTGAGCTGAAGGCAGTCGCTTAACCAACTGAGCCACCCAGGCACCCTAAAATAAGAACTTTTAATTTTAATACTATGTAGTCTGAACTGTGGTCAACAAGGCTTGTCTTCTCATATTTTTTTTTAATATCGCCTTAAACTCTTTCTTACTGATGTAGAATAAATGAATTTTTTTGTTTTTTAGCTTTATTGAGTTACATATGACTAAAATTGTATATGTTTAAGGTGTACAATGTGAGGTTTTGATATAATGTGTACATTGTAAAATGATTACTACAATCAAGCTAACTAACATATCCATCACCTCACATAGTTATGATTTTTGTGTGTGTGTGGTGAGAACACTTAAGATCAACTCTTAGCAAATTTCAAGTATATAATCTAGTATTATTAACTATCGTCACCATGCTGTACATTAGATCGCCAGAACTTATTCATCTTGCATAATTAAACCTTTGCAGTCTTTGACCAACTTTCTCCCCTTCCCCCTCCAGTCCATGGCAACCAACCAGCATCTACTCTGCTTTTATGATCTTGACTTTTTAATTTTTTAAGATTTTGGTTATTTATTTGAGAGAGAGCACACAAGCGGGGGGAGGGGCAGAGGGAAAGAGAGAAGTAATCTCCCCGCTGAGCAGGGAGCATGACGGGGCTTGATCCCAGAACCCTGAGATCATGACCTGAGCTGAAAGCAGATGCTTAACTGACTGAGCCACCCAGGTGCCCCTATGATTTAGACTTTTTTAGATTCCACTTGATCAGTGAGATCATTTGTCTTTCTTTGTCATTTCATGTAGCATAATTTCCCCTAGCTTTTAAAGATGTCACAAATGGCAGGAATGATTTAATCAATCATGCCTACATAATGGGACCTCTACCAAAGGCCCTGCACCATGAGGTTTGGAGAGCTTCTGGGCTGGTGAAGCTACACGGATGTATTGGAAAGGGGAAGGGGTGTACCGTGAGAGGGCATGGAAGCTCTGAATACTTCCTACATACTTGCCCTGTGCATTTCTTCATTTGGCTGTTCATGAGTTGTATACTTTGTAGTAAACCAGTCCTAGTAAATAAAGCACTTTTCTGAGTTCTGTGAGTCATTCTAGTGAATTACGGGAACCAACAGGCTTTCTCCTTGACTAAACTCTTGGCAGGCTCTTCTGAGTCCTTTTTTGACGAGGCCCTGTCATTGGGCCTTGTCTTCAAGCGTCCAGCTGTAGCGAGAATCCTGCTAAGTCTCTTTAACCAAAACCTGCATCTTTGATACCTGATCACCTCAATATCTGATAAAATTCCTTATCTTTCACCATCTCCTAAGTGATATCTGATCACTTTTTTCCTTCAGCAGAATCCCCTCTTACCCCTGATGTTTCCTCCACTGACCCCGACCCAGCTCCTTAGGTATAAATCTCCCTTGTCCACCCTGTATTTGGAACTGAACCAGTACTATATACTGAGTTCTTTTTCCCCCTATTGTAATAGTTACTGATTAAAATCTGTTTTTATTGCTTTAAATAGTGTCCAGTTCTGTTTTTTCTTTTTTCTTTTAAAGATTTATTTATTTGAGAGAGAGAGAGAGTGTACGTGTGCACGCAAGTCGGGGGAGGGACAGAGGGAGAGAATCTTTAAGCACACTCCCTGCTGAGCGTGGAGCCTGACAGCGGGACTGGATCTTAGGACCCAGGAGATCCTGACCTGAGCCAAAACCAAGAGTCAGACGCTCAACAGACTGAGCCACCCAGGTGTCCCATGGTCCGTTTTTTCCTTGATAGAACTCCCAGATTTGTAGTAGGCCAAGCAGAAATGCGTGTATCCTGAACACCTCATTTGTGGCTAGAATCTGAGGTGGAGCAGTCTATGGGATTGAACACTTAACCTGTGGGGTCTAATGCTAAATCCACATAGGTAGTTTCAGAACTAGATTGCATTGTTGGGCACTCAGTGTTGGAGAATTGAAAACTTGGTTGGTGTTAGAAAAAGATACACTAGATTTGGTAATGATTTACTTTACCCCATTCCACAGTCACATACATTTTAGGAATAACAGATTCAGATTTAATAAATTTTGGTGTTGCTTTCTTAAGGATTAAGTGTTACCAAAATGTTTCTATCAAAATCCGTTATTTTAATTAGTTTGCTAATTTGGCAAAGGCAGAGATTCTCCATTAACAAAGTTAACTATAACACAGGTGGAACATGGGGATGGAGTAATAGAAGAATTTTTTTTCCCTAGGCCCTACCACATACATCTCTTCTCCTCTTTTCTGCCTTTATAACTACTTTTGCATTCTCACCTGGACAACTCTTTTAATACAGTAGAAAGAACATTAGACTGGGAGCCCAGAAGACCTGCATTCCATACCCTACAGCCTTTATTGGTTGGAGAATCTTGGGCAGTTCATTCATTATTGTTTCTGAGCTTTTGTTTCCTAATGTATAGAAGGGAGTTGTGTCTACCTTTCCAAACTCACAGTGTCAAATTGAACATTGATTGTAATGATGAATGTGAAGGCCCTTTGACACAGATATTCAGAAGCACAGCAATGTAACAAATTAAAATTACAATATTTAAAACTACTGACTTCAAATTCATTTGGACGAGTGGAATTAACCCAGCCATTTGAATAACAATAGTGAATGTCACTTGCTAAGGGGCATGTGTTTCTTCCCTCCTTTTGGTTATATTGACATTCAACCAGTAAATTTTTGTTAGGGAAAACAGAAGCCAGTGTTCTATGACATCTGCCCCTGGCAGACGATTACCTGCATCTAGTTTAATTTTCTAAATTAGCTTGAAGCTACATATGGGCATAATCTGAAAGATATTTTATGTTTTTATTTTTTTATTTTTTTAAAGATTGTATTTATTTGACAGAGTGAGCGAGCGCAAGCAGGGGGAGCAGCAGAGGGAGAGGGAGAAGCAGGCTCCCTGCTCAGCAGGGAGCCAGATGCAATGTGGGGCTTGATCCCAGGTCCCCGGGATCATGACCTGGCCTGAAGGCAGACGCTTAACCAACTGAGCCACCCAGGTGCCCCTGAAAGAAATTTTTCAAAAATTATCATACATCAAGATACATAAGCCATAAAGGAAAATATTAATGTCTTGAAACTTTTAAGTTTCTGTGTAGTCCAATTTATCAAACACCATAAAATTAATGTCTAGCACAAACTAGGAAAATACTTGTAACATACAAAGGGAGAAACGGTGAAATTCCTTAATATGGAAACTGCTGTCATAGACTACTGAGGAAAAAAATGAATACCCAATAGAAACATGGGCAAAACATTTGAAACGTAAAAAATTTCATAAAAAATCAATAAGCCTATTGAAAAGTTCACCCTTCATTAGGAATTCAAATATATGAAATAAATGAAAAGACCATTTTTCACCCACCAAATTAGTAAAGGTTAAAAAAATACTATCAGACATGGTGTCTTTTTCTTACATTTCCAGTGAAGTTGTGGAACGGTATAATCTTTCTTTAGGACAGTTTAATTATCAAATTTTATATAACTTATAAACCTTTGACCAATCTGTTTTACTTCTGGTAGTTCATTCTAAGGAAATAATTGTGTACATAAAAAAAAAAGATGTGAAGTTATGCATTTCAGCGTTCTTTAAAATAGAGAAAAATTGGGCACAATCTAAATATGCAGCAAGAGAGTCATTAGTTAAGAGTTTTGTGGGATTTTGAGTTTTAAAACGGGATTTTCACAATCGAACAAATTGGAGGCAATTTGACAATTCATATGGCAGTAATTCATTCATTTTTGATGGCATAAGATTGGTGTATACACCAGAGTATTCAACTTTTACAGATTTACTCAATTGTGAAATGAAATATCACTGCTGGTCACATATGTTGTCAAAGATTATGTGAAATCAAATATTGGCCCACGGGTCAGATTTTTATTTCACTGAAGCTCTCTGAAACCTGAATTCATACCTTTGACAGGTCCAACTGCTGTTTGATTAGGTCTTTCATTTTTAAAACCTGGATGTGCTAGGGGAAAATTCTCTCTGTCTTTTATATCCATGAAGAAGTGCCAGTTAAGAAGAAACCAGCTGGCTGACATTTCTCTTTCATTGCTTCCTTGCAACCACAAATAAAGATCACCGACATCCACAAGTCTGTGATTCCAAAAGTACTAGGTCGGGTTGAGGTTTTTTGGTTTCATTTTTTTCCCCCTGTGTTTGCCAAAAAGCAATCTACGTCTCCTCCAGATTTACTATCCGTTTGCTGGCACTGGGGTGGAATGTGTTTTGTGTTCAGTGCTTTTCAGAGTTTTGGTTCAGAAACGATAACTGGGTTTCATTCCCCCATCCCCCTGACAGCCTTTCTTAACAAGCCTCTATTTTCTTTCTATCCTTTTGTTT